CCGTCGTAGCACAGGATCCTTCTTTAAGGCCGTCGTAGCACAGGATCCTTCTTTAAGGCCCTCGCACAGGATCCTCGTAGCACAGGATCCTTCTTTTAGGGCCTGTAAAAAGGATTCGACGAGGCCTCGTAGCACAAGCCTTCTTCAAGGCCCTCGGCCACGACCACTACTACTTTTCCCAGTTCCAGGACGGGGGGGGGCACGACTACTACTACTTCAAGGCCGTCGTGGCACAGATCCTTCTTTGAGGTCCTCGTAGCACAGGATCCTTCTTCAAGGCCTCGTAGCACAGGATCCTTCTTTAAAGCCGTCGTAGCACAGGATCCTTCTTTAAGGCCCTCGGAGCACAGGATCCTTCTTTAAGGCCCTCGTCGCACAGGATCCTTCTTTAAGGCCCTCGTAGAAGAGAGGGGGGGGCGCGACTACTACTACTTTTCCTAGTTCGAGGCGGGGGGGGGGGGCACGACTACTACTACTTTCTCGGGGGCGTCCTGCTCAGGTCACTTGTTCAAACTGCATTTTTTTATGCGAGGGATCTGCCAAAAAGACGATGTGGTCTATAAAATGCCCTGACAAATATTTTTATATTTTTGGTTGTGCGCCCTGGACCGCTGGACTGCTATAAAATGCCTGTACCAACATAGGTACATCAAAAGCCTTGACCTGATTTTTTCCTATACAATGCCCGAGCCGAGAAAATTCCTTGTCCAAGGCCAAGATTTGGTGCAACTCCTCAGCCACCTTGGAGCCATCTAGCTCTGCAGTCTGCAGGCCGTCTTCTGCAGTAGCCACAAAAATGTTTGTCCTGGGTCAGAGACACCAAGCAATGCATATCGGGCGTTAAGTCAGGGTTTCTGAACTCTCACACGCAGGGAAGAATGAAAAACCGATGCGACTTCCCAAAGAGCTTTCGACGCAAGGAACCTGCGTAAGCACGGCCCAGTATGCGTATGATTTTGAGGGTCCCCAGCCATCGTACGTAAAGAAACCAGCAAAACCACATGGCAAGTTTCACACAACCAATAATATGTAATATCAGTACTTTCTATGTTTGCCTATGTTCAACTTATATGTTATATATATATATATGGTTATATATTTATATGCTCTGACTATGTCATTGGCTTCTTGAGCTACTTACTGGCAGCTCAGTTCTTCGCTTCTTGGCCAAGCAGCTTAATCCCAATCCAAAGAGGACATCGCACCAGCGAAGGCCTCAAAAACATCAGTGCCGGAGCCTTCCGGAAAGAATCCATTTCTGTGTGGATGTAGGGATCCATAATGATCTACATAGATCCATGGGCCCAAGATGACCAAGTATCATCGTCTTCAATGAAGATTGGTCAAAACTTACTGGGCCGGATGGCAGGTACTTGTGTGAACGCCCAAATGACCGTTTTTCTTTAGGACCGCATCACGTCGTCTTTGCGGTTCTGGATGCCAACTTGTTTGGACTTAGAAATGGCCGGTTTGGGTTCAGATTGAAAAGTGAAGTTGAGGCCGCTGGGTATGATGGTCGGGTTGAAGCAGCCCTTGTGCCCACACACCAGAAAGGCTTAAATGGGTCTATATGTACGCACAAAGTCGCACACACCAAAAAAACAAAAAAACCAAGCACATAATGATACTGTATGTCGAGCGGAATTCAGGAGGGCGGTCATGCTTGGAGTGTCGGTACAATCCAAGCCTCTGATTATATCTAACTCCCCTCTTGTTTGAACCTACGGTCCTCCTACTCTACCATATCATGCGCTCCTTACTGTTGAGGCACAACAGTATCCCCACCCACTGATAGGTTACATCAGATGTAAGCGATCGGCGCCATGCAGCTTCCAATGTGCCATGTGTTTTCAGGTCCCAACCCCGATGTCATGCGGCTTCCACATCCAAAAATCGCCTGGATCACTGAGAGCGGATGTTTGAAGTCTAGGCCTCAGCTGCGGGTGGCATCCGTCGTGGCTGTGGCGGCTTTCTCTCCCTGCTGATGGCGTCAGGAAGGAGCTTGATGGGTGGCATGCCCCTAAAAAAGGTGGTGTTGGTCTACCCGTAGGAGCTGCTTGTACCTTCGGACCTTCCTTTGTACCTTCGGACCTCCCTCAACTGAATAGCCGGAGCTTTCTTTCAGTGTGGCTGATAGAGGTTCGGTCGCCACACTGCTCGAGTCGCCAGCTCTTGAAGTGGACGGAGCTGTGGAGCAGTGGACGGAGCTATGGTCTTATGGCAACAATGAGCAGTGGAGCAGTGGAGCAGTACAAAAGACCCTCCTCTTTCCTGGCTCCCCAAGCGCTGCAGCTGTGCTTTTTGCATCCATGACTGAGATCCACACCACAAAATCACCCTGGGAGGCACCAAGCAGTCTCATAAATCCATGAGTTGATAGACCAATCCACTCGGAAAAACCGTGCCCGAAAAGGGTCGCCGCGCCAGCACCCGATAAATCTAGTCAAGCCTGACTGAGCAAGGCATGCGTACTTTTTTTAATGGTGGTTTGGCGGTGTTCTTTGGTGTTTGGTGGTGTTAGTGGTGTTTGGCGTCAGGAGGGCAGCCCACAACTCACAAAACCACATCTGCGAACTCCAGAAAACAGGCCGAGGAGGGCGAGGGACAAAAAGCATAAACTTTAAAACGGCCCTTGGATAGGGTTTCGCACCATCTGTGAGCTGAGCACCACCTATAAACCAACTTGTGCTGAGGAAAACAAAACCTAGATTGTGCTGAAAAAGAAAGGTCCATGGGCCACCCTGAACAAAGCTAAGATGGGTGAAACAGCTATGAAAATCAGGTTCTATGAGTTACATAGACAGATGCTTTGATGTCTTGCTTCAGTGTCCTGGCAGGGACCGAAAAAGGTTTTAGGAGGAAAACTTCCTGTCAGGATCCTCTTGGGTGTGGCAGGGCACAGAGCCTGCAGCGCTTGCACCAATGTAGCTTCAACAAGCTCAAATTCAAGAGCTAACAGTTCCAGCACCTCACTGCTTCTTGAAAAACATCAAACAACTCCTGTGGGAAAATACATTAACATCGATCTTAAGATGACCCGAGCTCGGAATTGACTTCGGTGCCAGTCCTATACTGAACCTGGACATTCCAGTGTAGCTTCCTGGAGTCAGCATTCTCAGTTTCTGCTTCGGTTCCACGTTCGCCCCCATTTCCCCCCTTTGTCGCTCCATGTGAAAACGCGTGGAGAAGCTGCTCTGCCCAAGTGCCAACGGTGCCGGAGTCCTTCAGGACCGGATGTCCAGACAGATGGTCCATCGTGGACGTGTCCAGTGCGTCCATCGTGGAATGTAGAAAGTTGATATTCCAATCCCATATGAAGAGGTATCAAATGTCCCATATGAAGAGCTTTTCATGGTATCTCAGTGCCTTCCAGCTTTTGCATGTACCAAGGAGTACTTCTCCAGTAAACGCGAGTGTCGCGGATGCAGCATCCAGTCGGTCCGCCGGTGTCGGGATCATCCATTTCCAGCTCCAGGGGTGAGTGATTTAGATGTCTGCTGAATATACCGACCACCCAAATATGCTGGTTTGCAATGATTCCTGCTGAAAATCCGCCCTCCTCCCCTGGGTGGTTTGATTAGGTTGCCCGGTGATCCGCCATCCTGAGGGGCCGCACACCATGTGTTTTCTGCGATCTGTGCGTGTTGCATCACCACCTTGCCCTGGGCGGTGGGAGGGGCCAGTGGTTGATCAGTGGTGGATCTCGTCAACAGTACTCACATCGAACCGTTCACCTTTCGAACCCTTCACATGGTCGTCTTTGGGGTATATCCCATATCATATCCTGGGCCCAGTGGATGATGATGGCCTGTTTACTGACTGTTACAGGTTTTCTGGGACGCCCTTCACATATCTATTGTCTTTTGACCCAATCCCAGATTCACTACATGGAATGGTGTCAAAGCGAGCGAGCGAGCGAGTGCATGGCGCTCGACGTCCAAAACACTAAACCACACCAGGTGACCCTGCGTTTGTCCCTGGGTTTTTCAAGAATGAACACATCGAAAAAGAAAAAAAAGTAACAATGTAAATCTTAATATATATATATATATATACATAAACATATTTAGCAGATTCAAAAGCGTGGATGCAACGTTTCTCCGACGACGATCCTTGCACTTATTTACATTCATCCAGGATCATCCAGGTCTATAAGTCCAACGCTCGTGCAGATCTGCATGGAGTTCGGATCAAACATGGACATCATGAGAAATATCTGTTTCGAGAGTACAACATACGAAGACTTGAAGTCCTTCAGGGACGAAAAAAACTCTCTCTCTTCCCTGCAAAAGGTTCTCTAGAAAGGCATTCTAAGAACAATCTGTTGCATTGGATGGACATGTGGACCAGGGAAGGACTCCGAGTCACAGAAAGAGGGAAGAATCTTGAAAGGTGTAACGTTCCATTTGCTTCGTCTGAATCTAAACACATTACATACCTGGTTGCTGTCTTTTGGTCGGTAGTTCAACATACCTTTATTTGGGTCCGTGAACCACATAAACACCCGCAATTGAAATAAACATCCGCTGCAAAAAAAGAACTTTCGGGTAAAATGCCTGTGGCTCACCAATAAGCGCAGTAGCTTGAGTGTAAACGTCCGTGGAATATCAAATTAAAAAATAGAAAACTGGAGAAACATTTGCAGACTTAAATATAAGCCTGTGACTCCAAAAGATTGTTTTCACACCGCAGATCAAAAAACATGCACACTGAGGGAAGTTCCAGGTATGTATACTATATACTATCATGATTATATATGAGTGATCGATTCCAAGACACAGAAGAAAACCGGCCATCTCCGATGTTCAACCGCTCTTCACGCCCGGCCATCTCCCATGGGCCACCGGGGCCCTACGCGGCCTCTGCTTGGACCATGAAATTCCGAGGGGATGGATGCAGCCCCACCCGGTCCTGGCCGCCACCGCTGAGCGGGCTGCGCACGAATGTGGCAGTGGGTGGGTTTTGGACATCCGAGAAACCAGCGGTTTCATGAAATGGTTCCAATTTGCTGTGGGCTGTGGGCTCACAAGCACCATATCCATCTGAACATCACATTTCGGCACGTTTCAAGAGAAGAGAACCGAGTATGGACGAATGTCAACACCTGCAGGAAAGAACAAAACCAGCCGCGAGTCAGCTGCCTCTGGTCACTGCCCACTATGTGCGCAGAAGATATGCGGTCCTTGGAGGATATTCATCCACTAATGGCATCGGGCGGCTTGACTTGAAAACCTGGAGAATCAACGTGAAACTCTTTGGGTGCCCGATTTTTGGGACATCTCCTCGCACCTGCGCATCGGATGGTTTGTCAGGGGAGGGCTCGGAATCCTTCCTGCGACACGTAGACTGTGGAGGAAGAGGGAAAGGTGGAGCTTCGGTCGTTCGGTCTTCTTTCCGGTGTGGTGCTGAAAGCTTCTGCGACCTGCCGCACGCGGCGCACGCGGCGCGCTTTCACGCTGATTGGAGGTTTGCACACACAAGTTGTGCACAGCCAAAGGGGCATGCAAAAGCATGCGCCCGGAAGCACGCAGCCAAATTGGATCAAGTCTTTTGCAGGCAGGAATGCAGATTGCGCCACACCCTTCTGCGTGCAATGAACCAAGTTGGCTGCGCTGACACAGCGCACGGCTGCGCTCTGTGACTTTCGACGCTTGCTTGGTATTGAGTGGTCGTTTCGGCCTGGCCCTTCGAGGCCTCAGCTGACGAGCTGTCGACGAGGAAGCAGGAAGCAGGAAGAAAAAACGGAAGGATCTCAAGACCCGCCAAGTGTGTTTCTTGGGTCTGGCCATGAATGATTCCTGAAGTATTCCAGAGCTACCACACTGAGGGCAGCGTCCTTTTTCGGAAACCAAGTGCGACCCCAAACAATGCCGTTCGGTCCGCAGGCCGCAGGCGTTCAGCAGGCGTTCAGCAGGCTTCGGCTTGTGGTGTTGTGATCTTCCTTTTGTGCTCGAGGCAATGCAACTCCTGGAAATCCAGCCCCAACCAGAAACAACCAGGAGTCACAAAGGAGTGGTCTTTAGAACCATCCAGTGAGTAGATCATGGGCACCCAAAACACCTCCATTAAGCACACGTTTGGAACTGCTGGAAATGGAATTTCTATGTCATGTAAAGGATCTCAAATTGGCATAGAGGAACAACCATCTTGTTTCTGGTTGTTTGGGTTTCCAGGCAGGCTTTCTGCTCAAACCAGAGCATTCAGAGGTGCATGGAACAAACACGAGCGGCCGACATGCAGGAATGCGGAGTAACCATTGCCATGGGCAGATGCCTCCAACTTGCGCAGATGCCTCTGAGGTTCAGGCTGCCCCAGATTGGGACCGCTGGTTGCTATGCGGGTACGCTCGAGGGTAAATGACAACTCCAGCTTTTGTCGCTACGAGGTGCCCGCTTTCATGGCGTGGCTGGGCATTGCATCTCGCTATGTGTCTTGAAGGCCCAGATTCGCCGACCACTACCGGGGACCGGGGTCAATGATCCAAGTAGAAACTGATGGGTCGTAGCGAAAACAGTTCCAAAGTGCTACTCCATCCACCGACCGCTTTGCTTCGTGCTCTCTTCCCATTCTTCGAAAACCCCAACCAGGATAGACCACCGCCAGGTAGCAGGAGTTCCAAACAAGTGGTTTTTAGACCCCATATAGTGGAGAATGTCCTCCATTAAGCACCCTGTTGGAACTGGATTTTTAACACACCCTTCAACTCAAAGAAACCTGGCAGTGCTGGCTGGTGTGCTGGCGCCACCTACCAGGATCCCTAAAAAACAGGAGTCCCTTTCGCTTCAAAAAAACAAAAGAAGGGGGGAAAACGAACCTCCCAACCTCGGTCGACAAAAAAGAAACCGAAACTCCGCCCATCCCGGTCACGTCCCGGTCACCTTCTCCCCCAACGGAACCGAACGGTGCCCAACTCCTCGAAGTTTTGGATCAAACTCTCCAGCTCGGAGCTCCAGGTCTAAGCCGTGAGCCGGGTCAACGTCCGGTGTTCGCTAATGGCTGTGGGGCATGTGTTATGTGTTCTAAGGGGCTTCTTGCATCTTCTTGCTGTACTTCTGAATGACTGTGGACACTGTGGACTGCTAGGCTTTTGCCGAAATCTGACAGGCTTGGAACTGTGTGGCAATGTTGGAAGGGGTCTTCTCAACACAAACAGTGTGATTGAGACCAACAGCTACATGCCTGGGTGCACAAGAAAACAACAATGAGATCTCACTGGCTAGAGCATTTAGCAACCTGGTAGTCTTTTCACATCTTTTCACTCACCACACACCTTTCAAAAAAAAAGAAACACGAAGAGCATCACATCTCTGCCAAGCTGCTGGAAGCTTCGATTGGAGGTGGAGCCTGCGGGACGAACGTACCGCCCCAGTCCCCGAGGAACGGATCCCGCGCTCCCGCGCTCGGACATGCAGGTGAAGCACCCTGCGACGTGTCTGAAAGAGTTCCCAAGCCTTTGGGCATCTCCGGATGCTGAAAGAGTGGTCCTTCATCAGTGGCTTTGGGATCCTTCGAACTCATGAAGGGGTCCGGTTCGTCGTGGCCATTCTCTCTAGGTGTTTTCTTGAGGTCTCTGAGGCCGAACGTCGGAGCCATGTTGGCGACGGAAATGATGCCAGCACGCTGACTCCTGGCTCTGGCCGCTGGGCAATTCTCTGCACCCAAAAGCACACAAGACGCTGAACATACACCCGGGAAAGTCAACATGGAACCTGAAAATAGACCTTTGGAAGACGATTCTCCTCTACAACCCCGTAGTTTTCAGGTTCCATGTGGGTCTCTTCGGCATAGCCCCCTGGAACAACCACAGATTCTTCTGCATGTCCTCCAAGTAGAACGTCAAGTCTCTAAATTCGACTCTAAATTCAACTCCCTTTAACGTTTCACCCAACACCTCCCGACATCGACGAGACAAACCATGGCTGTCTCGGAAACGATGCAGCTCGGCTCGGTGCCCCCCACGCGGCGGCGCCCTCGGGCGGCAGTAAGTGGAAGGATGGGCTCCTGGTGGCAATAGAAACACGGTTGTTTTCCAGCACCTAATGTAGACTCTTGATTAATAACTTAACAAACCCTTCCCATTTGGATTGAAGAAGCTCTTTGCATGGGGGGTTTATTGATCCAGCGTCTACATTATACCGAACGGATCCTATGTCAAACAGTGGACTAGGCAGTAATTATAGGATGTTCATTAGGAATCATGGACGCCTGAAGAGATCATGATGTGAATTGGGACCCACAGGGTTGTACCGCGCTTGGACCACAAACCTAGCAAACCATCATTAAGGCTGCGAACGGATCCTACCCTTCTGACTGGGGTGCCATGATGGTCGCACCTCTCGAGCCTGGATAGCTCTCGAGCCACCGCCACTCACCAGTTCATCAAGTTCATCTTTCACCCACCAGATGTGTTCTCCACGAGCTGGGTTCCAAAACATGTCACGGCTTGCGTGGTTCGCGTGGCGATTCGACCGACCAAGTGGTCTTTACCCTACATTTACACAAATGTCCTCGGGCGATTCGACTGAAAAAGGAGAACAATCCAATCCCTGGAAGTCCGAGACTATTTTTGTTACACTCCCTGAAACAATCATGGAAGTGGACAGTGGCCCCTTGGAAGACTACTTTCATCTACCAAGAGGGGGTTGTCCACTTCCATGATTGTTGCAGGGAGGGTAAATGGTCTTTAGGTGATCCGAATACGAAGTTCTCTACTTCGGTGGTCCAAAAAATAGCCTTTGGACTTCTAGGGCAATGCCTTCTCCGGGTGATGGAAAGACTCGGTCCATGACGGGGACGTTGAGGACTCTTCAGCGCTTCTCAATCATTGCGGTCGAAGGAAAGCCGGCACCAAATGCCTCCATCGGTCTCACCCACTGGACACCTGGTGACCTGTCCACTAAACGCTGACGCCACGCGGGAAAAAGCCCAGCAGTCTTGGTTGTAGGGCTGCTGCTGCCTGGGGCGAGGGCTGTTCTCCGGAGGTGTTGGGACCCATGATCTGCCGATTTTCACCACTCAGTGTGTGGTTCTACGATCACCTGCAGAGCCCAAAAAACCTGGCGCATTTGGATGAAACCCGACAGAATGCTCAGAGATTGTATTCCCAAAGAGTGCTGTGTGTTGGAGTGGCTTTTCACAATTACGTGGGTGTGCTTCAGACAGAAAATATGTTTCGATCACAAGGTGGTTCATCAACTTTCTGAGCTGATCCCTGAGCCACGTTTTGGGACGACTCTAGGGCGACTCAGGTGAGCAGTAGCATCCATCACCACAATCTGGGCTGGGCCAGGGGTTCCATATTATGGTTCCATAGGACTGGGTGGGTCAAAGTGAGGTCGCTGAGCGAAGTGAGGGTCCGTGCAGGGCAGTCTTGGGCACCAAAACACCGCAGTCTTGGGCTCAAAGCGAAGCAAGGAGAAACCGGAGGACTCTCTGGAGTCCCTTTCAGCCCCTTCAGCGCCACCAAGGGCCTCCCAATGTGTGGAACAAGGACTCCGACTGGTGCCACTGGATTCATCATGGTGGCCCCCTGTCATTCCAACCACGTTGGTAGCTGAGTGAAGTTGTGGAAGTCCTCTCGCAACAACCAACGCCTTGCGGGAAGTAGATTATAAGTTCAGAGTACCCTTCAGAGACTCTCTGCCGCCAGTCCAAGCACCAAGTGAAACCTGGTCCAACCAACCCAGCATTACTTGTTTTCCATGACAAGACCCCCGGCTTCCATGAGGTTTCTATGAGCTCCAACCTCTTTTCAGAGCTCGGCCTCCTTTCGGAGGGTCTCGCAGCGTCTCGCGCGCCTACTCCGCTCGCGTCTCGCGCCTCCCACGCTGAGGGGCGTCTTGCTTCCCAAGTCCTCGCCGCAACCGGCGCGGGCCGCGACCGGGGCAGGGGAGCGGGGGCGTCCGGAACTGGTCCTCGGAAGGCCACACCGGGCCAGACCAACCGAGACCCAGCTGACCCAACTGGTCCTCGAACTCTCCCAGGGTGACGGGAATCGGGGTCATCGAGTGAAAGAGTGGAGAGGGTGTGTTCTCCGGCAAAGGGGGAGGATGTCACGCCATCTAAAGAGAAGAACATGGTCTTTACAGGGTTTTTGCCTTCATTCTTTAGTCTCTTGCTGCCGAGCGCATTAATCTAAACCATCGCTCACTGGTATGTTCAAAGTCCCTCTTCCAGCCCGAAGAGAACTCGCTTCAACTCGGATTCTATTGAGAACTCGTCAGACACCCAATCTCCAATCGTCCAGAAATCTGTCAATCCACCTGCAATAAAAGAACACTTCGGATGGAAGAAAACATCCTGTCATATCCCGTTCAACTGCTTGGCTCTTCTCTTCTCCCTTTGCACTCCGTGCTGCGTTCCCAAAAACCGGAGTATCTACGGAGTCTTCACGTGCCCCACGAAGCATGTCCGGAATTCCCGGATTTCCGATGGACGGCGCCGAAGGAGAACCCCTCTATGACCCTCCAAAGATCTTGACGAAAGTCAAACCACCGCCCCAGGTGCTGGAACTGTTCACCTTTGGGCTCAACGAAATACCTAGACTCAACACTCCCATCCCGGTTACTCTTCGACAGCAGCTGAACACCCCACCGACCGTTCGAGGCCCGGTGAAGGACCGGGGGTCGAGAGACCGACAGCGGTGGGTAGCGGTGGGTAGCGGTGGAATGGGACCGTTTCCCCGGTGGGATTTGATGTGGAAGCTTTCGTAATACATGTCATGGTGCTGTCGTAATACATGCGTAACACCCCCATGGTCGCAGCGAGCTTGGTCTAGCGTGGCCGGTTGACACTGGATACCCATCATGAAAGCCGTCCGAAAAGGTTTAGAACATGGCAGTTTGCCCGCCCCATCATGCTTGTCGGCGGAGAGAAGAAACGGCTGAGACGCTGACTGTCTAGTTCCTCTAGTTTCCTCTAGGCCGACAAAGTGCAATTGGAGGGATCAGGCTACCCATCGCTCCATTAGTGGCTTTCGGAAGTGGTGAGGCAGTCAACAGTCAAAACCATACTCATCCCCAGTCAAGAACTCCATAATTCTTGAGGACGTGCATCTACAGTTTACACCCCAAATAGACCAGTGAGTATCTCTTGCCCAAATCCACCTCTTGCATCGGTTCTTGCGTCTCTCTCCCGCCGCTTCCCGAACCTTGTTAGTACAAGCGGGACACCAAAGAGTGGACTGCTCATTGAGCAGCGGAGGCACCTCGGTGTGGGGAGCATCATGGACAGGTCGCCAGAAGAAAACTGAGGGGTAGCCATAGCCGCCATGTGCCTGTGATTACCTGTGTGCTACAATAGTGCTGGCTTCACTGATCTGCTATATAATATCCTAGATTCCTTTGCTTGAGTCACTGAATCTACTTCGTTCCTTGTTTGGTTGAATCAGGTTAAGCGGTCGCTTGAGGTTCCAAAAAGATCTGATGATGCCTACAACAACACCCACATCGCCCATCGCCCGCCACATCGCCCGGGTTCGGCTCAAGGCGGCGGCATATAAGTCCACGAAGTGCACATTGCACTTCTCCACTCTTCGTCGGGTGTGCTGAATGCGAGCCACCTACGCGGGCCAACGGCCAACAACCAGAAAGCTCAGAGGTTTGGGCTTCATGGACTACAGTGGTCCCCAGATAGATCCCAACCCAACGATTCAACCAATACATCTAGACTGGATGTACAGAACTGTTCGATCCATTCGCAAAATGACTCTACCTTGAAATCTACGCTGAATTCACAGGCGACACGAAAGAAAAAGCTCTTCACGGAAAAAACCAAGCAAACTCAGCCAGGCGGGAAACCCTCCGGCGGGTGGAACCCGTTCGCCGGTTCGATCCACCTGTTGTCCTCGCCCCAAGAAGTCGCAGGTGAGGTGGAAAGGCCTCAGCACGAGCCCGGCTGAGCGGGTTGAAGTCCTGACTTCTGATGTGCAGTAGTTGATGGGGAAGGGTCCTTGGCACGGAATCCCCAATCTTGGGTGGATGAGTCCCCTATAACCTCTTCGGAAGGTTGCTAGGTCTCTGTAGAAAAAAATAACTGGGGAATGCAGCGATTGGCAACGATCCACCCTCCTACCAGCACCGATGTTCCATTTGTAAGTCCTTCTGATTGCATCCTTACTGGGAGAGGCCCCGACAGGTCAAAATGGAAGATCCGGAGCACCAGATGATTCATCGGTGGTTCACCTCCACACGCTACTTGAACGCTACAGCGGCTACAGCTTTCCTTCACCCCACAGCAGCCCCGCAGGTCTTGCAAAAGAGAAAACCTGTCCTTTTTCAGAGCACAACGCTTCACACTTCCGCACATACTGGAAAACTGGCACAACACCACACACCCCTTCCGGTCTCCCACGTCCGGTCTCCCGCGGTCCACGCCGCGGCGTCGCAGCGGGCGCCCCTCACCGATGCGCACAGCCCTCACAGCGAGACTGCACCAGGACCCACTCGTCGCCCTCCTGAAGGAGCCACCAAAAAGGGAAGGACCGACCGGTGGTTTTCGCGTCTTTTGGGAAGAATGGATTGGTTTTCTTTCCTAGATGACAGGAGTTGGTGGCCTCCCAAGTCCGTCTGACATGGCGTCGCGTGATTCCCGTCCAAAGCACATCCAAGCCCAATTCGGGTCCAATCCGGAGTGTTTCTCGAAGGGAGCCCCACTTCCCGCCGCTTTGCGAACGCCGTTCTTCTTTCTGCGTGCCTTCTGGTATCTCATGCAGAAGGCTGGCACAGGCGGAGCCTCAAAGGTGCACGTGAACAACCAAGTTCGGTGAGGGCCCTCGGGTTTCATATGAAGAATAAAGGTGTCACATACAAAAAGACATGTTTTTTGCTAGGTTGCTAGGGAAAACCAGGCTTTTTTCATGATCTGTGCCGTTGGTGCCCCCGGTGTATTGCATCGACCTCTGGATTATTCCCGTTTGGTCAGACATCGCTGGTGCGAGATGCAGCCGCTTTTGATCGGAGATAAAGGTGAAGATCACCGAGGCGGTGATCAAAACAGGCTCGCTGCATGAGCCAGGATCATCTCTTTTGTGGATTTTTCAGGGTCAATCCCAGATTTCTCTGACGGTTTTCAGGGCTTCTTTGGTTGATTGCGTCATGGCTTGGTTCTCGTGGGGATGAAGTTGGAGCCCAGAGTTGGAGCCCAGCGGAGCGCAGCCAGACTAAGACGACCCTGCCTGCTGTTCCCCATCCTCAGGAAGCCAGAAGTCAATGCTCTGCTTGTCTGGCTTTCGCCTGCGTCTGAGCTGAACACCCTGCATGCTTCGCATGCTTTTTGGGGGGGAGGGCGATCATAGTCGCAGGTACCGAAGATGTATCAACCCATATCTGACCAGGACCAACTGGAATCCCAATATGCTCGGGAGATGACGCCCAAAGAAGAACACAAGGTCTTTCAAAAGACTTTCCTCCCAATATCGCTTCCTTACAGCCGCTGTTTCCCTGTGCATTCTTCTATTTGGGTATTCCTTCCACTGCTGCGGTTTCTTCACGTGTCACTTAATCTCTTTTTGAACACAGATGTTGGATCTCAAAAGGTTCCTCTCTTCGGTTTGACACCGCTGCAGGGGTGACCTGTTCCAAGAACTTTCAAGGCAGTGGACAACTGGAGATCATTCAACATGTTTTCAGCAGCCGTTCCTCACTCATCATGACGCAGAGTCGTTCTTGATATATTTAAAAAAAAAAGGTATGGAACTTATAGATCATGCCTTAAGGATCTCTGTTTTTGAATTGCGAGCCACAGAAAGTCACCCTCTCACAATCTCATGGAAGGGACGATCATTTTGGCATAGTTTGGCCAGGGCTCTATATAGATGATTAATATCACATCTTGCCCTAGCACTAGCCTTCCAAGACCACCTGAAGAAAGGTTGTCCAAAATCCTCTATCCAAGAATGATCTTGAAGGCCGCCACCCTCACAGGTGAGCTTTCCGGGGTATGATTCATAGTCTGATACGGCCTAGAAGATTAACATGGAACCTGAAAAACCGCTGGGTGGTAGAGGACAAATGATCTTCCAGGCTGGTCCATGCCATCAGGTTCCATGTTGGGTCTCAAACACCACTGTCTTCCAACCCGCTCCATGCCACCAGCTCGGATCTCGCAGGTCACTGCGCATGCGGCTTGGCTCGGCCTGGCGATCATCAGGAGCTCCAAACCTCTGCGAGGTGGGCGCGTGCGTCGGCACCGACCGGGCGTGCGTCGGCAGCGACCTGAAACTCCAGGTTTGAACGACCAAAGACATCAAAAAGACGATCATATACCCTCTAACTGACTCTAACTAGAGAACCACACAAACTGTTTTATGTCCTAAAGAATCGCCGATACATGAATCAACTCATGGTTTTGGGTTTGTGATACATGGGGGTATCTGTGTACGTGGGTTCTCTTCCAAGGTTTGTGTCTTCAAGGTTCTGCCTGAGTGCTCCGGTGCTATATGATATGTCCATGTTTGCGAGGATTGTAGCCTGATTTGTTCGTGCTTTCATTCCCGAAAATTCCCTGCACGGCACCAGTTGAGGGAAAGCCTCTGAAGACACCCCCTCTTTCCCAAAAACACACTCTTTTTTACCCATCTTCCCCTAAGTACCCGCCCTTCACACGACGGTGTCAAGACGTCCAATCTCATCTCCCTTCACGGCATCGCGGCATCTCGTCCCGAAGAAACATCACGTCTCCCCCGCCCCCCCGTCTCCTCTCGGTGACGGTGTCGTAACGGCGGCGCCTTCGTTCATCAGGTGGAATTCGTCACTGTTCACCTCAAGGGTCACGAAAAACGGCTCACGGCCGCGGAGCGGAGCCGTTTTTCGGGGCTCCGGGTTTTGGTGTGGATCAATGTCTACAGGCTGTTTGGGTGTACTACTACTACTGCTGCTGCTGCTGCTGCTACTACTGCTACTACTGCTACTACTATTATTGCTACTACTACCTGTACCAGGAACGACTTTACTAGTTTGCTAGAGGGCAATCTGCATGCAATGTTCTTGGCGAAGTTTTCTTGGCAAAGCCCACGCATCGCCATCCGGTGAAAGGTGGAAAGCCCGGACGATGCGTGGTTTCATGCAGTGAAGGGAGTAGAGTCTGCATCGATCTTGACTCATCTGGAAGTCATGAGCATAGCTTCGACTTGAAGTCTTGCTTCCCCAGAGCCTCCACTAGGGGTGCCAGAGAACTCCAATACTGTGATTTCACATCATGTCGTCTTCTTCGGCCACGGAAACCCGAAGCCCGACAGGAGCGAGCGCCCGCACAGAGGAGCTAACGATGGTGTACCGTTGGAGGAAGCTGCTGGGTGGCGGTGGTTGCCTGGGCACGAGCCAGAGTCCCCAAGCAAGTATAGGGTTTTAGGGTTTAGGGTTTAGGGCAGATCAGAAATCGGAACGGAGGCACGGTGGAACCCTCAACACCCTTGGTGGAAGAAAGACCTGTTTACGCCCCAAAGTTGTCTCCCACCACACCAGTCAAAACTTGGAACCCAGAAGTGTCGTTCTGACTCATGAACTACCCCCCCTGGGAGTCATAACCCATCACTACCGTGTAGAGGGGAGACTTTTGTTTCATATATAAATAACATCCAAATGAGCCATGACTCTCACCGAAACCCACTCCGAACTGAGCCCACTCAAAGAGTGCAGCCAGAACACCTCCCGGAGTAACTCGCTCAGTCGCTGGTCGCGCAAGCAGAAACAGCAGGAATGGGTCAAGGGTCGATCCCGAGTGCAGAATCCTCCATCATGTTCTGGAAAGGATCCAATTGACCCCAAATCCTTTGGCCATGTCTTTTCTAGTAGACTGCCTGGTTGCACCAGCGCGGCCGTACTACAGCAGAGCTGCCAGCCTTGTGGGAAATGGGTGGTTGGAAAAGAAAAACACCCAGATCCACCAAGCAGAACTTGTGGGCAGCCCACAATGGGCTTCAGCTTCGGTCTTCTGGCCATGAGAATGCTTTTAAAAAAGAATACAGAACGACTCAGAACGACTCAGGAAGAAGGGGGGACCCTCAAAACCGAAAGGGGAACCCTCAAAACCGGAAGGGGACCCTCAAAGCCCGGTGCTCACATGCGGACAAAGGATCTAAAGAGATCTAAGGACCCGCTGTTGACCCGCAGAAACCGGCCTAAGGGCCTAAGTCAAGAGTGACCTTCTTCTCCTAAACCAAGAGTCTTAGGGCCAGGTGCTTTTTGGGGTCCCTCAAGGAAGTGAGTTCCTACGCCCAACACCGCACCCACGCCACCATGAGCTCCACCGGCTTGCAGACGTGCGCAGCCGCAGAATTCGTCTGGGGTTCCCCGTCCGAAGCTTCGTCGCACCAGCCTGGGAGTTCCAGCAGCAGCCCTGCGGGACCGGTTCCGCTGAATTCACCGCCGGGGGTGCCACAGAAAAGTTCCACGGGGCCAAGTGATATTGTAGCTGTGCATGCGGTTGTTGATGACAGTCCACCTTCCTTCATGGCTACAAGATCGACCCATTTGAAGCTGCCTAAAGCCTCCAAAAACCATAGAAGTCCATAGATCTCTGCTAAAATATTCTTGTTTGCAGAAACCTGCTCAAAGTCGATTCTCTAGATCAAGGTCATCGGCTTGGCAAGGCTTCTCCACTGGGCCTTTTCCAAGTCAAAGTCAAACTGCTCCAAGGTCGCTTTGGGACTGATGGTCTCTCCTTGGATCCCAATCGACATCGATCTGTCCGGCCCCATCGATGAATCGATTCGTTTTTTCGAAGCCAACAGCGAATGGATGCGACATGATGCGACCTCCGACGGGGCCAACATGGAGGGAAGATATTTACACAGAAACGGCCGGTACATGGTTCCCCACAGAATCAAGTATGGGAGTGTGTTTGGTGTGTTTGGTGTGTGGCCAAATTGCCAAAAAATTGCTCTGCAAGAAAAACTATGAGACTTGTGGGTCAGCATGAGGAACATCTCAAGTGCTAGCACCGCCCACTTCAGATGCTTATGGTCAACACGACATGTGGAACCGGTCAGGAGGATCTCTTTAGACCACCCAATATGAAACCCAAACTGGGTGCCGGAGGTCACTTGCTCCACATCATGACATCCAGGAGATCCCCCACCGATGCACCGAACCGGTCGCGACAGACACCTCGCGACGCGTCCGTTTCAGCCGAGTTGCCAGGTAGCCTGGGAGTTGACGGAGACGCCTGGCGGAGCCAGTCTCGTTGGCAATAGAGGATGTCCCAAAAGTGTGAGATCAACATGCTTGTCCGTTGTTTTACCACCAGTAACAAGCAAAGGGCCCGCAACACAAGACTGTGCGAAAGAGAAGCCAACCCCCTTGATGGGTATTGACAGAGAGGGTGCTCAGAAATGGTCGATGGTAGGGGCCTCGTACGCAGTCGATGTGGTTCATCCAGTCTCTTGCAGTCTCAGAAGACCCCCCCCGTGTGGCGCAAAATCCCAAAGTCCCTGTGTGGGAACATGGATCAGCTCCGGGACGCCTCACCAAGAACGCTTCGCTCGGCGTCTCCAATCTCTGCGCACCGATCGCGCCGCTTCTCTTTTGCTTCTCTGCGCGGAAAAGGCGAGTACCGAAGTGATGGGTGTCCTCCAACGACGGTGGTCGCTTACACTGAAAGCACTGCAAGCACAAAGACCCTTTGAGTATATAGTGTAACCTCTCCCACACCGCCTGTCCGCTTGCTTTAGGGCCTTTAGGGACGATTGGTTTCGGAGTCATGGAAGCCAGGAACAAATTTCCCAGTGGCCCAAACCATCCATTCACCTGGTCCACACGTTCACAAATCACAGAGTGGGTCAGAACCTCAACACCAAAAAGTCGCTCTGAAAGAAAGGGCTGCCACTCAAAAAAGTGACAGAGGATTGCAAAGCATGAAACGTTAATTGTTGACCATCCAAACCGCTGGGTGGTTGGCATGACCTGTTGCAATCTTTGGGATCGCCGCATCCATATGCTCTGGGACTGCTTCATCCATATCGATGCCACCCCCTGGAATTGCACCATTTACAGTGAAATCAAGTGGAATCACTTCCTCGTTGATGATTCCTGCCCTGTTTCGGGCATGTCTTCTTGAGCACTTGGCCCTTCTCCACCCATCAGACAGACACCCATCAGAGGCGCTTTTGGCCTGCTCTTCAAGTCCCCGGTAAATAACACTTGAAAACATGTTTAATCTAGATGTTGTCAAGGAAAAACGAAACGATCGCATGCAGGTGGAGTGTCTGTCTCCCGCTTCTTGCCGGCTCCGCGCAAGAACCACGCCCGCACCCAAAGGAACGACCAGTGGTGACCAGTGACCGCCATGGGGAGGCTGTTCCAGTCGAGCACCAGAGCCACTGATGCGATCACAGACATCGACCCCAGAAGCCTCGGCCGTCGCAGTGTGAGGCCGAACTCCAAAGATCGACCGAAGGACGCCAAACATCGACGAAAGTACCGCAGTGTCAGGTCCCAACAGGTGGCCCCACACCAAAACCCCTGGCAGAAGGAACGACCAGAAATCCCTCCCGTCGCAGGCCTCTGGGCCCCTTTTTTCCCCCCCAAATCCCCTGGTGATGTATACCAACCTCCACGGTTGTTGCTTCGTGTCATCTAGTCGACGTGTGGCAGCCTGGCAGCCTGGCACGGTCGACCACGATGGACCACCTGAGTGGTCCAAAAGGTTACGGAGGTCCATTGGAGGGTTTTTCCCTGGAGGTCCAGTCGAACATGTTGAAAATGGTTGATGTGGTTTTGCACTAAGTAAAACCCTTAGTGAAACAGCTCAGGTGTTCAAGATTCAGGCTATTAAAAACAATGGTGGTTCGACTTCGAGGGTTTTGTTCTGCAGAATGCCTGAGCTTTCAATCTACTGGCGGACCTCCCAAACCCGCATGCTGTCCCTACCCTCCTGTCGACACGAAAAACCAAGCACTCCGAGGAAAAAAGGGGTCTCAACCGGGGCGCGAGACCCAACGAAACTTGGGGGGGGCACCTTCTTCGAAGGATCTCACTTGACTATAGCCAGGAAGAAGTGAAAAATTATATAGATGTGCTCGATTCGATTTCTGGCGCTTCCACCAGTGCGGGACACATACCAAAGATCCCTCCCCCGAAGACCGGCCGAAAAAGAAGGCGGGTCGAGCGGGGCTCGGACTGGGCGGCACCTGGCTCTTCGGCCGACCTTCAGCGCGACCGACCTTCGTGAAAAAAGCCCCGACGCAAGAGGCCACGGCTCGGGTAAAAGGCCACGGCACTCGGCGCAAGATGCCTTCGATTCCCCTAGGCCCTAGGCTTCCTGCCAACATGATGTATATAATTGAATAGGCTTTACGTTACTGAATCAACTAAGGATGTATATACAGGTCGTTCCCATTTCTTGCTGGTCTTGGAAGTCTAGCGTTCCTGTGAACGCAACGGTAGTAATTAACCTGTCGAACACGCCTTCCAGGAATCGAAAAAGAAAGGTGGCCCCAAAAAGCTTGGCATGGATTTTTGCCGTGTGCCTTGCCACGCGCGAGGGTTTTGGTAGGTAGGGAGATCTGAGTAAAGCCAACTGCCATGAAAAACGTTGGAAAACCAATTCACTCGACCTTAGGGAGACCCACCACCTTTAAAAAGCGCCCCAAAAAGAAGAAACGCCCTGTCGAGGTGCGCTCGGAACTTCACCTGCTCATGAGTGAAGCACGTCTGCAAGAAGTAGGCGAAAGGCACTTCCACATATCTGCCAAGATGCTGACAGGGACACCAGAGTTCCCAGGCGTCTGAAGCCACACCGTTTGTCGATCGATGCTTTGTCTGAAGTCTTTCAGAAAAGCGTGGCACTTGCCGCTTGCCCCAAGGTTTCGCCATTCCATATCCTCTTGGACCCTGTAGACCCCGCTGGGAACAAGTCAACGTTTAGAAGCAATCGAGAACCAAATGCCCAACAGGCCGGGAAAAGAACTGACAAACTTCACGCAGAGCACGTCTGCCTCTTTGGCAACTATTGTTGATACAACCAACCAGTCATCAACCACGGGCTACGGCAGTGCCAAGCAAACGACGACACCCACCAAAAGGATCCAAAAGGAGTCAATCTCTCTCCAACCCCAAAAAGTAACACGGAAACAAAAAAAATAAAACATGGGGTACACAGATGGCGCTCCTGTCGAAACAGCGGTGTTTCGCCGGCCACGCCGACCACGCGAACCGGTCCGGCGGCCGTGTGGTGCCTAAACATGGAGGCCCGGCCCACCTGCCACGGAGCGGCAACGGAGCGGCAAAGGCCACCCAAATCAACGAACCTCCTGTTTGGGGGGCATCAAAAAGGGGCTGGGGGATGTGGGGAGAGTATTTTTCTTGGGCTCCTGGGTGATGGATCTGGAATGAGTATGAGATAAGGGATATCAATCCAAAAGCAGCAGCGCACGGTAAATCCGTGAGAGTTTCGTCCGTGCTTCTTGGAATATCTCATGAATCTTCTAGACCTTTCAGACTGCACAGGCGTGACGATGGCGCGTCAGCTGACGAACCCGAAACCCTTCGGGAACTTCTCGGCACCGCCGTGTGTTGGTTCGCCACGCGCGTCACCGTCCCGCGCGTCTCCAGGTCCGAAGCAGCGGGACGCGCGGCTGAGCTGGTGCACCTGTGCCAGCTGATAACCCCTGGTCTCCAGAGCTACACCCAAGAAGGATCCGCCAGCTGCGAGGATGATCAGCGCCGCCTCACGCACACCGAGCCCGTCGCCTGCAGACTGGCAGACTTCGCAAGAAATGTTGGTCTTCAGGAAGGATGGGGAAGCATCAAAAGACGTGGGGCTGGATGATCCTCAATCCAATCAAACATTAGACGACGTTGACGACAACAACAATCTTCCTACGACTGGGACAAGTCGGCCTCCTGACTCACAGCTTCCTGACTCCAGTGTAGGTTTCTGGACTCTGTCAACTCCCATTTTCCTGGATCGGTCTCTTGAGATGTTCCATATGCTAGCAACTTGGAGGGAAGTGAATCTAAGCCCCAAATCTTGGAACTTCATACATACCAAACAGCTTGGCATGGATGCAGATAGGTTGTGACGTTCCCCATCATGCTACACTCAAACCACTTCGAAAGCAACGAAGAACATCCCCACCTGGAATGGCATGACCCCCACCCAGGAGCACATCACCTGGGCTTGTTCGTTCGAGCCGAAGCCATCTTGGAAGGCGCTTCGACGGTTCGTGGCTTCGCCGGACGAGCGGTTGAGACTCCACATCGGTGACGGTGTCGCAGTGGTTCTTTGCTTCAGTCCATGAGCTAAGACGACATGCCGCTTGACATGCCCGAAGGAAAACGCTGTGACGGTGTTCCGGTCACCAACGATCGGACGAGTCAAGACGAGCGAAGTCCAAGACGAGCGAAGGAAAACGCTGGGACGGTCCCATCGACAATCAAGGCTGGTAAAACCCAAGTATATACCAGGACCTTCTGAGTGACCTTTTCAAGACCTACGTGTCCTCATTCGAGCTCATTCCGATTGCGAAGGTTCCTGGACGCCTGAGACCAGCTTCTCCCCTCATCTCTCCTCTCACCCACCACACACACAGCCAATCCACGCAACACCGGTCACTGCAGGGTGGTCGCGCATTCACAGTGAGTCTGTCAACAGTAGTCTGCTGTTGACCACGCAACTTATCATGGCTCTCTTGACCACACGTGGCTGGCTCGAACAACGACAACCAAAAGACCACAAGCGCAAGCCAGTCTCTAAAGCAAGAATCCAAGTATCTCGAAATGACTGAGAGCCTCTGCTTTTGAGCCATCACCCCTCTTTCCAGGCTTCCGGATTCCCCCCATCCAAGGCACCCAGGAGTAGCGCAGGGTTCAGCAGGAACGAGGCCAACAAAGCAGTCACGTGCACCACCTGGAGCAGATTCGAAGGCGAAACATGCTTCAGGCGAAGCTTCAGCGCCAGTCCTCCAAAACCATGCTCCGAACAACAGGCCTGGTCCGCCCCTCCCCGGTCCGGTCTCCCGCTTCGGGTCGCAAAACGTGCGGTGTCCTGCTTCGGCCAACGAGGAAAGAACGGCCATCCGATGGTGTATCTGGTTGAGACACAGAGGAGTCATATGGGTCGAAGAAAACGGCTTCAAAAAAAGTCGGAGTCATATGACATATGGGTCGACTGTCGCATAGGTTTGGAAGAACCCGCCCCTCGCTTACGTCTGAATGTCTGGCTGTGCGTCTGAATTTCGAGTGATGGTTTGTAGTCAGGTGCCGGGAGGTCAGAAGCACCGCTTCTTGCCAAAGAAGCGGTGCTTTTGCGTGGAAGCCGAGCTTGTTCGTGGAAGCATGGCGCTTGGTCCGCCTCAATCCAGCTGCATTCCTGAGTCTGCTTGGTGACCAGTGGCAGCAAAGCACTGAAGAGCAGCGCCAAGAAGACCTGACCCACCGGGCGGGAGGTGATCCCCAGCGACCCTTTGGGTGACGAGGATCTTCTCGATGCCTAGAGCCCCCAGTCGGGACAACCCCCGACCACCCCCGACTGACCTCTGTTCGGGGCGGGGCTAGTAATGAATGGATGACCCCGGAATCCGTGGGTGCTGGTGAAGATGTCTCATACACTCCAATTCGCGGACTTGTGGGTTGGACTCTTCTGGCAACGTCCGACCGGACCCGGGGGTCAGGGCATCCTAGATGTCCCACAACTAGCAGGCTTGCCCAACTGGAAAAAGACGTGGTCCGACTTGCTCCTTCTCCTACTTCTACTTCCTACGAGCAGCCACCCACTCCACTCACTCCAATCCAACGCGCCGGACGGTGTTCACATCCGAGCAGCAAAGTGGTACTCCTCCCCGCTGGAGGACCAGGAGTGGCGCCAGAAGGCCACCGACAAGAGACCGTGGAAGGGCAGGCCCTCAGTGGGCAAGCACACCGGCGTGCACACCGGCGTGCGCGCAGGCGGCCACAAAGGAAAGGATAGGAGTTTGGGAACGGAAAGGGAAAGGAAGGCTTGAAGGGAAAGAAAGAAAACATGAAACCTCATCGAAAAATCGCTGAGGTTTGGTGCCTTGCCAATCATGAAACATCGGTAACGTATGTCCCACTTGACCATCAGTCTCAGCCAATGAGAAGCACATCCCACAAGAATCCATACGTGAACGAGCGGATCTTGGCCTGGATTGAATCATGGGAAGACTAGTCATGTGGACGGTTGATCAATAAAGCCCCCCAGATAGAGAGGTTTTACAATCCACATGGGCCCAATTGGTCAACAGTCTACACTCAAAGCGATCGCTTCTAAAGAACCCGACAAAAATTCCAAGACCGAGCGTCCCATCTTCCAAAAAAAAAAGGAGATGGCTCTTGTCTTAAGAAGAAGGATCACCGATGAAAACCACTTTCAACATCTTTCAACGACAAAACATCCGAAATGTGGTTGACCTCCCGATGCATGGGTCTGGCGGGAGCACTGACCAGTAATCCAAATCCCAAGAGCCAAGATGAGCATCACACCAATCACTGACAGAAGCACCTGGCGCGCAGGGAGGAGCGCAGCGTACGTCTCTGCTCCCCTTGAAAACCAAAGAAGAAGCTTGAACTTTGGGGCCCTTCTGCATGGCTTCTGCACCTCTGAAGAATGGCTGGCACCTTCTGGTCAATTCCAGGAAAACTCGCAGAAACCATGCTGTCCAAAAACATGCCGGGTTCCTCGTATGTCAAGACTCCATCGACATCTCACCCTCCCAAAAGCCCTCCCAAAAGCCCCACCTGCAAGGGAAACTGACTTCCCAAAGGCTCTTTGAGCAAGAGCCGTGAGAAGACGGAGGTCAAAATTGGAGAGCTGTAGATGATGGCCACGCAGTTCCCCACCGGTGCCCTTTGCAGCGCAGTCCACCAGCAGGTGATGAAGGACACCTGCAAGACGCCCTTCAGGATAAGCCATCTCCTGCAACGCGACGGGTGTCACAGGCCAGATTGGGCCGGTCTGTCTGGAGAGCTGGTCAAGTGGGACCACTTTCCCATACTCCTAGCCAATTCCATCCCTATCAGCTAAACTTGTCATATTGTTACGTGGGGTTGCCGTTTGTAGATGTGCCAAGCAAACTCGCTTCGCGGCATGCCCCGCTGCAGCCCGGGCACTGGCTGCCAGGAGGGCCAAGCCAGCGGAGGTTGAGCTTCTTCTGGAAGAGGAGCATGAAGGCTATGGAGATCTGCCCACATGGATTGAAAGCAGGGCCAGTAGCGGTGATCAAATACATTGAAAAAGCACCAGAAACATAGATATATATATATATATGTACCTGGAGCCGAAGTGACCCCTGTTTTGGACGATCAACTATCCAAAATATGGTCGTTTCCAATCAAAACAGAGGTCAGTCAGGCTCTATAGGTATATATATCTCACGGCTGGGCAGCACCAGCCGTGACGCCGTGCGCCTGCCGCCTTCCACGAGGACTTCGCCGGCTCCCCACGACAGGTCGCCGAAGACGAACGAAGAAACGAAGGAAACAGCCAGGGGACGAACGCAGCAAGCCAAAGGAACGCAGCAACCCCAAAAGAGATTCGAATCAACCACCGTAGATCACCGTAGATCGGGTGATCTAACATGGCTGATAGCCTGACAGTGAAGGGAGGAGTCCGACGTAGGTGATGAAGTGAACTGAATCGCAGGAAGAGTTTCGTCAAGAGATGTTGAACGCTTTTCGAAGCTGGCATCGAAGCTTACGACACATATCAAACGAGTTTTGGGGGTATATACTGTTTACTGCATCTACATGGATAGTCACTGCACAAAGTATTTTCGAAGCACCGGCTACAACACGAGGCACACGCGGAACCCCATTCGGATGCAAAAACATGTAGGTCATATAAAACCGTTCATTGCACTGTGGGGTGTCCTGCTCAGGGCTTTCAGCCAGCTAAGATGACCTCCGAATGAGTTGGTTCTTTCCAGGAGCTCAGTTGAAGACGAGATCCGAGAACATGAAGACGAGATCAGTTCTGTTGGAAACATCCGGCGTTCGTTGCCACAAACCCGCCGCGTGGCCGAAAACGCGGCAAGCCGGCCGGTTCCAGCCGGACGCATTCAAGAAGGCGGTAAATTTGAATCAGAAAGAAGCTTGAAGCAATGGTGAAGACAAAAAAATCCATGTGTTCTACCGCTGTGCCGCCTTCATTCTTGGGAGTCGGAGAGTCTACAATCTACTCCCTGGATCTTCGTGACCGAACTTGATCCCCTGGTTTGAGGTCACTAACAGGCCAAAGGTCACTCAGGGGGACTCCAAAAATGGTGGAAAGTCCTGGTCTCTTCTGAAGGTATGCGTGATGCGCTAGCATCTCAACACAAAAAAACTGCACTGAGAACATCAAGCGAGGCGCTATCCAGCTCACCACAAATCGGAGTTCCGTCGCCAAGAGCACCTCCCGTCAGTCAAGTCTGTCGCTTGACCAGCCAACGGTTTTCAGCAGCCACTCGCAGACTCTGAACAAAAACCCCGCATGCTCCCATGACTCCTGATTCCTTCACACACGCAGAAAAAAAAGAAACGCGACTCCTCCTGCTTCGTCTTCCGCGAAGCGGAACGTGGCAGAACGCCGTGGCGGAACGGATCGGCACCGGCAACGGATCGGTCTTCACGATCACGGCCACCACGGCGAAGACACACGCCTGACGGCGACGGCGCTGGCGACGGGAGACGGCGCTGGCGCGAGACGGCGCAGCACGGAAGTCCCAGAGTCCCATGCATCGAAAAGCATCGAAACGGAGAGGTGCGAGGCGAAGATGGGCGAAGTGGCCAAAGATGGCTGGCCCTTCTGGGAACGTGGGAGGCGACCAAAGAATGGTGGAGATCGAAGATTCTGTGTCTTCCGGAAGCTGTTTGAGAGAACAAGCCAAGGCTCTTCAACAAAAAAACAACCACCGGTGATGACATGAGGGTCCATGTGCTCGTCCCTCCTACCATGGAAGTGAAAGACTGTGATCAAGCCTGTGATCATGGAAAATCCTTTTCCAACTCCAGCCTCGCAACACTACAAAACCAGGTCAACCATGTGAAACACAGTCTTGGAAGGCTAGGACCATGCTGGCTGTGTATAATCACTTTGATCCCTCCGTTGTTGCCAGATCCTAAATTGATTCCTCAGTTTCCCTGGAGAATAAAGGGTTAACCCAAGTGTCCAACTTTTCTATCCTTTTCAAGTTTGGTGGCAAAGCCAATCCTCTAAAACAGCTTTTGCACGTGATCCACGGACTTTCTGGCTAGCTAGCTGAACATGTCACATCTCTCGACCGGCGGAGGCTGCCGCCCCCTCTCCAAGTGTGATGGGGATCACGTCCAACCCTCTCTCCAGCCGGTTTTTGGTCACCAAAACGGACTGATCCCATCGCAACCATCGCCAAGTTCTCTGGATTCCTCCTTTTTGGGACACCAAAACCACCCCAGCCATGGCGCTGCGGCCACCACCAGCAGAGTCCCTTCCACCTGAAGAAGCCGGTGCAGCGACCCGCGAGGAGCGTACAGCGGCCTTCTCCCGTGCTTAGTAGGGAGGGAATTGGGGGAGTGACTCCAGGAAAGACCTCTGCCTGATTCTTCCAAGTGACTGAACTTGATCCCTGGGCCTGTATAAGGTCACCAACAGGCCTGTAGAAGGAAGCCTTTGGAGACTCCAAAAAGGTCACTTTGAAGAAGCTGGCCAATGGAGATTCTGTAGGAACCTTGAAAAAAAGGAGCTGTTCCAACCAGACGCTCCTGGACCCCCATGTGGAGGGATCGGACCCTGGACCAAGCCTGCTTTCATGGAGCTTTTCACGGGGCCACCAGAACACCTTCCAAAACTCGATTGGGCTCCTCCGTGACCAAGATCTTCATCGCACCTGTTCATGGACCCAAGTCCAGCCATTGAGTCCCCTACAACGTCCGGCGGCTCCGAATCGCGAACGAATCGAATCGTCTCCGACGTGAGACGAGTCCACCGCCGGTCCACCGGGGTTGGTTTTCCGAGGCGACGAGTTGGTCGATCGCATCCGTTTGGAGTCGGTCGGAGCCGAGCGGTCGGGAGCCGAGCTAACCAAGAAGCATCTTCATGGTGGACTGGAAAGAAAAGAGAGGTTAGTGAATCAGAAGGTGTGAAAAGGCACTGCACAAGTACTCACCGCCTCCCCAGTCCCCAGCCTCATCGTTCCAAAGGAGAGACACCATGGCATGGGGACTTTCGTCGTTGCGAGGTTCCCACATGAAAGCCCAGTACAGATTCAGCACGGCCAAAGGGGAATGCACCGCTCGCTTTCTACGGACTGTGAGACTGTGTGGACTCTCGTCATGAGAGTGTGTCGGGTGAGACGCGGTTTGAGACATCGACGGACTTGCTTCCTGTGCAGAGGGGCAGCTTGCCGAGTCTGTAAAGGCTGTTTGAAAAAGCCTTGGCCCAAGTCTTTCATGGTTGCTTGTTCGACTGGTTTCCGGGGGCTGCGAAAGCTTCAAGGTAGACCCTATCCATCGAAACAGGTCAGGCCCCGCGCTACGTTCCGCTGCGGGCAGCCCTGTACGAGCTGGGCTCACCCTTGAGCAGGAAGCGGCAGCGGCGTGTGGCAAATCCAAAGAAGGCACCTGGCCATGGCTATATAAACTAGAAACCATTTGACCTCCTTTTTACTAGGAAAAGACCCTATTTTGGATAGTTCATCCTCCAAAATGGAGGTCACTCAAGTTCTAGGGAACTATATAGTGCCAAAAAAATTGAGTCTCCTCCAATCATCTATGGCTGCAAATGATTTTCGTCTATTTGGGCGGCTAACTACAGGGACGAGAAAAGAAACACACTGTCTGATGCATCACCACAACAGGGGGGGATCAAAAATACAGACTTCACTCTTGCTGCCCTTGTTGTGTGCCGTACAAGGAGATTTGAAGGAAATAGCAGCTCCCATGCATGCCTCCGTTGGTTGGAAGGCTTGCAAAGGGATTGGGTTTCTTCCGTGCCACAAAGCACCCTAGTGGGGACCCAACGACCAGTGATACAACACCGAATCGACTTTCACCTGTCTGTTGCACCGTCAGTGCAGCTGGCTTTGATTCAAGATGCTCAAGACTTGCCGGAAGTGGCTCCTAAACGGGAAAGCTACCAGTAGAAAAGGATCCTGGCTCGAACATGAACAAATCGCACAGACCAGGGGTCACAGAGCTAGCTAGTGGTGGTGTGCTTCGTCCCCTCCAGTGAGTGCATGTGACAGGGGCACCTGTTCCTTCGGAACGCACCCGTTCCTCCATGGAACTGCTGGTAGCCCCAAGGACCTCCCTGAAGCCCCCGAGCTCCATATGCACGGCTTCCTTCCGTCTACCTCGTTTTGGAGGCTCCCCCCATGGAGGCCTAACGTTCGTAGCTTCTTGCTACTAGTAGCGATGGCCTCCAACTACTAGCTTCTTGCTACTACTAGTATCAATATACCATAATATACCAAAGAAGAACCACCTCTCAAAAACCATCCAACTACTCCTCTGCAGATTCACATGGACCACGGCAGAAAACTCTCCGGGTTCATGGGATCGTCGGGCGACCGGGAGGAGTATCATCATTCGATGATCAACGTTCACTTCCCTGGCCTCTCGTGCCTCATGCGGAGCTCGTACCACACGTTCCTGGCGCGTGGGCAGCAAGTGGTGGACTTTGAGGTTTGCTTGGGTGGTTTGCATCTCTTGGAAAGGTACCAAGATGGAAAGAGGAATCATGAATTGCAGCATTGATTGTCCTTTTGGATCTTTTTGGCCTTGCGTTCTGCTTGGGCTTCCACCTCCAAACAACTTCAATCTCAAGCCAAATCATCCAACCCTCTCTACCTCCCTTTACACCCCCTGCACTTCCCCTCCTTCCCCCCTCCGAACTCTCGCCATCAGAACGGACATTCCCACCTTCAGAAAGCTAAGTGGTTCCAGCGATTGAAAAAATTTGGCCTCGGCACTCCGCGTTCTCCGCGCGTTGAACGCGCTTTTTGGTCGCCCAGGAGTCGCGCTTTCAGGCGGCGGAAGGTGTCGGTGTTTTGGTGATTGGAGTCCAGCTATCCAGAAGAAGAGATCCAACACCGAACACCCCCGAGTCCAATGGGTAGGCGTTCGCCGAACTCGGCGTTGCACCACCCGTCCGACACGGCTTCGTTGGTGCGCCACTCGTTCGCCCAGGCGCCACTGGTGAGCTTGGCTGATCAATCTGGCGAGAATGGGGCGCGCCACACTGGTGGGGGGCGAGTCGGGTGGCTGGTGGCGAAGCGCGACTGGAGGCTCGATGCGAACGGAGGTCGCCCGAAAAAACATGCTGACGGTGACGGGTTGATTCATGGAGGGAGAACGAAGAAGAAGAAGAAGAAGCAGGAGGAGGAGGAGGATGTGTCCAGAATGCTTTTACATCTCTACTTCGGGGAGTTTGATTCATCAACAGTCAACGTTGGCTGATGCTCATCCACCCACAAGAGGGTTGGATTGAAAGCTTTTTTCACCCTCCCTGGGTCCCATATATGGACCAAACCTTCCACAGCATCCAAGCGTTTGATGCATCGAATTGACTTCCTCTAGCGGTTTTACGGTCCAAAACCCTGCCACCTCAATCGCCGGCAGAAGGACCGGATCGTGCGTCCCGCCGCGCGGGACGGGACGCGCGGTGTCCCCGCCTTGTCAATGTAGCCCATATTCTTCAATCCGATGCGGCACCGAGAGGAGCGTCAACGCTCGTTGCGAGGTGGGGAAAAGCAAAAGAAACACCCTGACAAAAAGGTAGAAGACAAGTCGGACATTCCCTGGAGTCTGCCGCAGGTGGAACAGGTGCAAATGGAGGTCCAATCTGTAGATCGAATCCTACAGTGTCCTACAGTAGGGAGGACTGCTTGGGAACTCGGAGGCGAGCCGTCGGATCTGTGCCGAGCCGGAGCTGCGTGGCGGTGGCGCGGTGATCGGCCACGGCGGTGGTGCGGGGGAATCCGCGACACCCAGGGCGTTTTGGGCCACGGAAGGGTGGAAACAGCGGAAAAAGACGGAAAAACACTGGTTTGTATCCAGAAAGGACTCTAAAGATAGCTCTCTCTCGGAAGCAGAACCGCCTCCACCCTTTGACCGCCCTCACTCTTCTTCAGCCTCCCCCACTTCACCGGCCGGCGATCGCATCGCACCCGGTCACACGGGTCCGGGGGGGGGAAATCTGACTCGGGAAGAATAGATGCCCTTCTTGGGCTTCAGTCATACCTTCTGAGGTTCGGTGATTGGGCTGGATTAGTAGCTGTCCAACCAGTGATTCAACATTGCACTCTCCGTGACAGCCAGCTTTGGAGTCCGTAAAGATTCCGTGGTCCTTCAAAAGAACACTGTCAATGTGCAATTTCTTGGAAAACATCCTTTGCTTCATGGCTCCCCTACCAACACATGGATGACAGTGGGCTCTTCATTCACGTGCAAACCAAGGTCTCCTCATGTCCGGTCTCCTCACGTCCCCTCACCGCGGAAACCTTCTTCACCATATCCAGTCTTAAAATCCCATCCCAGCCCCATGGATCCTCGCGTCTTTTGGTCTCAGAGCCATGGATCCTCGTACTCTGGAAGCCCCTGTGTCCGGTGCAAGAAAAAGGCTGGGTGGGAGAAGGGTCAGAGTGGTGCTAGTTCAACCCATCTTGATTTTGGTGGTTGGAGTGCCTTTTTGAAGAACTATGATTCATAGCCCAAAAGGAAGCCTAAGTGGGGAAATTGTGGGGGTCTTGACAACTATATACACCTGAAAAACACCTGGGCAAAATCAATGGCAGTTTCACACACCAATGGCAGGATGATTGAATTTCCCCGCAGGGCGCTACCGATCAACGCCCACGTTACGGGCGTGGCAGGGTCGCGTCCGGTCCGGCGGGTCGCGACGTGTCGCTCGTTGACCTGTGGATGTACGGTGGCTTCAGAGTAGATGGCACAATCCGCAAAAGGTGATATGGACCCCAACAAAAAAGCAACCTTTGGATTCCAGTGCCATAAAGAAAACGTGAAACCACTGTTGAAAACATGTTGCAAAAATGGTGAGAGAGTTTGCTCTTCAAAAGGCGACCTTTTCCATGCATGTCAAAGGTCCGAAAGAATCCAAGGGTCCAAAAAACAGGAAGATCCAAAACCATGCAGGCATATACCAGGACCTGCCAAGCCCGGTGGTTTTTGGACACCGCGAATCACCGAATCAAGAGGCAACTTACAAACTCGTCTAGGTGTCGGTCCTGGTAGTAGATGTTCCTATGAAAGTGCTCCAAACAGATCTTCTTCGGTCGCTCGAGGGATCTCCGTCGACCGCCTTGCCATCCTCGGGATCCTCGTCGTCCGTGAGGGAGTAACAGGGAGCATCCCTGGCGAATGGATTGAACAGGTCTGAGCAAAATCCTTCAACACTCCGAATTTCCGGTGTCTGCTTTGGGAGTGTGGTGATAGTGCAAATTGAAGGACCGGTGCGACACAAAGGTCCGGTCGTTTCTGGACTGGATCCTTCTTCTTTGTGGATTTTTTCTCCAACCTCTACCTCGACCAGTGGCACAGGTGTCGCCTGTTCCGCTCTTGGAACGCCCGGTGTGGTGTCGCACGCTCCGGTGTGGTGTCGCTCCGTGCGCGCCGGAGTCCTGTCCGCCGAGTTGGCGCGGAAGGCGCGGTCGCTCGGCGAAGGAGTCCCCGGATTCCCAGGAAACCAAGTTGTTTTCAAGTCGAATGAGAACTGTCAGTTGAACCAAACAGACTGCTGCAAGCTGAAAACAGGAAGAACAAACAGAGATGAAACAACCAGGAAAGCCATTTCTCGAAATACTATTATCTATGGTTTCTGACTGGTTCCCCTTCAATGTCTTCACCCAATAGGGAAATGTATGCAAATCACGGGGGTGTTCACCAAGCTCTCCCATTGGCTGTAAGGGCTAAGGGCGCAAAGGCTCCAAGCAAAAAGACACCCTTGGTTGCTTCTGGTTCCTTACCTCCAGTGGTCACCGCAAAGACTAACAGTTCGCCCCGTTGATCGCCTGACTCTCTGACCGACTCTAAACTTGCTCGCCTCGCCTGAAGGCCTCGCCGATGGTTGGCGGCGCCTGGAGAACAACCGGTGGCCACAAGTTACTTGTGCCACAAGTTACTTGTGGGTTGTTTTGGAAAGAAGCTGAAGGCTGGTGCAACCTGCAGTGCAACTTCACCAACAACCCAGACTATATAGTTAAAATAGTATAGAAGGCAAGCTTTAGCTGGTGCAACTTCTGGGGTTTCTTGCGAAATGCGAGGACAGCAACCTGCAT